GGCTTAAGTGAGTTCAACACACATAAGTACAATTATCATGACATCATGCATCTGGGATATGATACACTGTGACCAATAAACTACATAGCTTTACTCTGGTCTTCTTTATGAAATTCAGATTTAAAGGCTCCAGATATGCAGGACTGTGTTATATCCCCTGACACTGGCATACATATTTTATGCCATTATTTGCCAGAACAGTAAAACACACATCATACGCTTGGAGTAATGGCTGACTTGCAGACTGCCTGTGTTACTAGGTGAGGTATCGCTAGCCAGACAGCGGCATGATATGGTTTCCTGGGTGCTGCGGTGACGGGTTGTAAATGAATGTGCATCTGTGACACAGGTGTTGATCCGCTGTGAGACTGCCTCTCACTCTCCAGCTCTTTGGACTCCAGTATGGGTCCCTGCTTAAGGCCTGTTGTCCACTGCATTTGGAAAACTGCAATAATAATGTCATAAACACACCTACTATAGGTTTCGTTCAGAAAATTCATAGCTTGGAAAATAAAGCATCAAATAAATGACGAACAACTTTAATTTTAAAAACAATAGCTTTGACACACTCTGTTAGCAGCGAACGGCTGTTTGGCACCTCAGTCTAGTTCACTGAACATGAAGACTGATGTGAAAGCGAATATGGTGAGATTTCCGCTTCAAGGCGTGCAAGCATAGCGAACAGGAATCGCAGTGTCGCGTACTGCCACAAGGTGGCATAAGAGGTCCAGAAAATGAGGCCAGATGCTCTTGATCTCTGTGGAGGATTGTTGTCTCCAGCAGCAAAGTAAATCCTGGCTTCAGATTGAGCCGTTTCACATTCTGCCGCTCTGTTTGCACATAGACATGAGCCCGCAAGTGGAATGCAAGAAAAAAACTCCCTTTAACAGTGAAGACATTTCTGGATTACCCACAAATACATTTAATAAGAAGAACAATCAATTTAAATGAGTTTGTTTGGAAATACAAAAATGTAACCTGGAGTTTTCTGAATGCTTCTTTGCGTTAGTTAAACATGAAGCAAATGTCACTAAACATTATTGTATAAATGGGCGTCATGGCGGGACCATTCAGCTACCTAAGAAAAAGAAACTGTAGTGGTTCTATGCAGACATAGATCTGGATTATGGGATAAAGAATTAAATATGGACACTCCGTGGAAGCGCCTGGATACCTACACAGGAAGACAAGAAGTTGACTCCGTGTGCAATAAATGAATTGGCGATATATTGGGAAACAAAAGGATTGTAAAGGTCCCGAAACCTCCTGAACTGACACAGTGTACTTGTCCGGCTCCGCCAAACTGGCGACCCATTTTGGGCAGCTAATCGGACTGGCAGGACGAGAATGAAAACTGGGGACTTTGGCACAGACTCGGCGTCGTTGCACGATCCGAAGTAGGAGATGGAAAAGGAGTCAGGGGATGGATCGGTTTTATTGTACGCGGATTACAGCCGCGGTCAGCTTTGCCGTTTAAGACGGCTGGAGAACAGCCTACCGTGTCATCGAGAAATATGAGCCTGATATTCACGGTGGCTGGACCAAGCTTCAGGACTGCCGATGATGAGTCGAGGTTGGTGCCCTACTGACTCTATGTGTACATGTAATATCAGATTGTATTTTGCCCAACTTATAAATGATCAGCATCAAAAATCCAACGTGAAAAAAATTAATCATCTGTGGCAACAATATGGAAGGAGGCATTTTACGTCTTTTAAGACATGTGGCATTTAAGTAGGTCTGTCTCAATCCCATTAGTGCAGTTCTAGTCCTAGAGCACAACACCTCCAAAACAGGTAAGTGTACATAAATGAGTTAAACGAGGGGTGATGCTAACGTGATCCATGACCTTTCAAGAACGTGGCTTTGACACACTTTTATGAACGTGAAATTCAGCTAAGGTGATTTATGCAAGCGTAGCATGTTAGGTCATGGCCCCGATTTTGTTGGGGACAGATCTCTGGCCCTTAAGAGCCAAGTAGCCGGATCACCAGCCATATGAAGAGGGCTGATGGTGCCCAGGTTGTAGGAGGTGTTAGAGACTGAGAGCCACGCTGCTCTTCCTCAGGAAAGACCTGCTATCCAACAGTACAAAATCAGAGACTTGTTTAGAGAAAACACAACACAAGGCATGCTGTTCCAAAGAATTACTGATCCATATAAAACGATGTAAATTATATGTAACATTTTGTTTAAAAACAACAGCAAATGAATCAAGATCTATGTTAATGGAACCAGTCTTACCTTTATAAGTTGTCTCATTTGATACCCTTAACCCAAAAGCACCATCTTCACTGTTGCTATGCAGGGTTCAATAACCTACTTTATCTTGTTGCCATCATGTGGTTTCAGTGTCACTTTATGGGTTAGTGTTGCTGTGTTATGCACACATGTGGTCAGGTAGCATTCGATGGTCTGATATGTGCTACTGTTTGAGCCAATTATGGGTAAATGGTTCTGGTCAGCTGACCTGCTCTGGACATCGATTGTCTCCTTGCACGACACGGCTGACTGAATGGCTGTTAGGATGTAAGTTCTGAATTTGACTGCGACTTTCCAAACGACCCTCCTCTCTAGCCCCTGCCGTGTTGATCAGCTTCCCAGGTATCCTTCACTATAAACAAGCCTCAAGCCTCGTTCCTAATAATTAAAGTCTAATTCTCCTTTCCCATTTGTCCCAATCTAACCCTATTAAGCAGAGGTGTAACTAAGGATGCAGCACATCTGCTCGTCAATGAAGGGTGAATGTGTGACGCTGCTTCCCCTTTTTGGGGAATGAAAAATGGTCCCTGACTAATGGCAACTGCAGAAAAGGAACAAAACACGAGGCGGGAAATGGGAGATAAAGAGCAGCATCTGCACCGTTGCGTAGGAGTAAAGGAATAAAGGGAAGTGCGCCATCTGGGCACTGGGGACAAGGACGACCCTGGAGGCCCGAATGTGGCTGGTATCTCTGTGCCACCCAGGGGTCCTTCGTCGGGGCTTCCTCTGCTGTGCCTGACCTGAACTCCTGTGTTCTTACCGATGCAGCACGCTGCTATTGCCTCCACTTCCATTAGCACCGAAGCCACAATCAGCTCTAAATCTGTTCATATCTATGCATAATTCCTCAGCTTTGTCTTCTGTCGTATGTTAAGGAACTCCCGCAGAATAAAGAATAAAGAAAACTTAATGAGAAAAATCAGTTTGCCTAATTAATCCATAACACCAAATACCTACTGTCCCTAAAATGGGGGTTTGTTTAAAGCTGTCACATTTCTCAAGGGTAGATCTTAGAATCAATGCTATCTGTATCTCGATTGTCAGTTTAAAGCCACCAAAGTCATCCCAACTGTCAGCAAAATATTCCCATTTGCTCATTTCCAATGACTAAATTCATCTGTATTATTGCAAAGGTCATCAGATCTAAAGGACGTTATTTCTAACACTCCTATGTTAGAGTGACCTCATTGCGTGTCTAATGGGCAAATTTTCAAGCACCATTTTTTAAGTCCATGTGCAGCACAGTGTTCCTTATAGGCCAATCAGATCTGATGAGGCACTATGACCTCAACTGTAGAAGTGATTACGGGAAATGGATGAACCGAAATCTTGCTGGAGAAACTTGGCAGTAGAATGCCCACGTCGCTCATTATTGTCTGATGGGAGGACACAAATCGGGCAGGTTTTGCTTACATAAGCAATTCTGTTGACAAACCCAAACCAGTATTGCCCATCAATCCTTTCATCTCCATTTGCTTTGCAGAATGCAGCATATGGTCAGAGGGTAACTTTTTCCTCATGAGTTGTACAGAAACTACAGGAAGTTTGAATTTAACTCAATGCATGCAGAATGCCATTACACAATTCAGCCTTAGGTTCTTCATGTCTGGCAACTAAAAGCCCCAAGGATTTCCTGTTGAAGTGTAGACATCACTAATGAGAAGTACTATTTATTTAGTATACAAGTGTGTCCTACAAACATTTCATACTTATACCCTATTCTGCCAATATCTAGAGCAGGGGTGTCAAACTCCAGTCCTGGGGGGCCAGAGCCCTGCAAATTTTTGGGTTTCCCCTCATTTAACACACCTGATTCAACTCCTTGTGCTAATTACCACACAGCTCTTGAACTGATTCATTTGTAGTGGAACAGGGAAAGAACTAAGCTACACAGGGCTCCGGCCCCCCAGGACTGGAGTTTGACACCCCTGATCTAGAGCAAACCTTCTATGCTGGAATACTTAGGAAACAGAGTACCAAAAATACTTAATCACACTTATCTTGAGGAGAAACAAGACATACATTTACAGAAGTCTTAGGCAAAGAAAATGATTACATTTTCATATTGGTCTAAAACTGTAGCATTATTTGTGTCAAAGTGTCAGCGTTTGAAGACTAAAATCACTCCTTTATGTGCAATAACCAGTGTATTATTTGATAACCACTAGCCTGCCTTGTATGGCTAATCAATACATCATGAACTTCTTTAAAATAATTTAAGCTGATGGTGAAACTTAAATACATGGAACGGCTGAGGTGCCCCTGAGGAGAGGATTGGGAACTGAAGCGGCGTTCATCCAGCCATCCAGCAAGATATCTGTAGCTTTTTAAAGAACAGAGGAGATTCCTGTTAGTTTTCGTGCTGTTAATTTGCATGTTGTGGTGTCAAATTGCATTTTTGTTCTGAGCAAATATACACGAAAATACCCAGACAAATGGCTCTAAACATTTCCTTTGACTGCCCAAGACTATTGCAGTGCTGTATATTTATAGATAAAAACGTACGGTGGACTTCATGCACTTACTGAATAAGCCAATGCCTTTTAAATTTAAAAAGTGACCACTGAAAGATAAGCTTCTGCAATAAGTGCCTTTAGAAGGAAACAATTCACCAGATTATATTAACGCACATTTCAAACACGCAGGTATTTATCTGAAACAATCTTTCCTATTGGTTTTGGAAACTTGGCTTTGTGTTGTCACAACTTAACATATCAAAAAGGTAAGGGAAACAAGTGTAAGAACTCACAAAATAAAATTCCGGTTTATTGGCATACAACACACATACAGACAGGCCATAAACAGCAATTTCATAGACAAAGAAAATCCTTTTCTTTGGCCTTGTCATCTCATACAAAGCAACTACTTATGGTACAACTAAAGTACATACACAAAGTTACTGGAATGCTCTGAATTTAATCACTGTCTTTTTTACAAGTTTGCTGTTGAGATAATGACATGGTCAAACCACAAGTAAAGTCTATTTCGGAAAGAAGCACCATTTGGTCACCAGAGATTACCGTCAAAATGGCTGACCTCCTAACAATATGTACAAAAATATAAAATGTAAATAAAAATACAAACAAATTCTCCTTTTAAAGAATTTCATTAAGAAGGCAGAGCCTCGAAGTCTTAGTTGGTTCTAAAAAATTTGCAGTTGGGTGCATGTAGACAGATGTTGACCTCTACTTTGATGACCATGTTGGCTGTTACTCAGCAGACAGCTGAGGTGGGGGGATTGTGGGAAATCAGCGGTAAAAACCTAATCGTCGTCAGTTTTTTGCTTCTTGGTTCCAACATCATCCTAAAAGAGTCACAAAATGTGGAGATCAGGTCACCCAGCTGTACAGGCTCTATTAAGAAAGGTGGTGGCCATGGTTTGGCACATACCTCATCTTCATCGTCGTCTTCAGCCGCTCGTTTTCCTGTGCCTCCATCAACATCATCATCGTCCTCATCATCCTCACCTACATATAAGGATCAAATGAGCTTACCAGTTGATCTTGCTATACTGGTAACAGTGTAAACCTCATACTTCCAGTACAAATGGAAATGAGCTACAGTTTTAAATGCATACCATCACCATCATCTTCCTCATCATCCTCTTCTCCGACATCATCATCTTCTTCATCTACTTCATTTTCTGGTTCCCCATTCTCCTCATTGTCCTGAAGAGGTTCGGGGTAGAAAAAACACAAATATATATTTTGTACTGATTTTTTTAATAAATGTTTCATGAAACTTTAATGAGCAGAAGCTTTTTCTGCATGTGGCTGTCAGGAAAATGGGATCGTGACATACAGCGTTCCCATTGGCTGGTACATCCTTCCCATTTTCTGTCTCATCCACGAGTTTCTTCTCTTTAAGATCCTGGGGGAAAATATTAAGAATATTAAAGAATGAAGACTTTTCTCGCAGAGACTAGAATATTGTAGTCCCTTTAAACCCCTGTATTCATTAATTAGTATATGAGCAATAACACTTATTTTTGACCCGTATGTATCAAGTACTGAAACCAGTACGAGCCATTAACACGAAATGCCGCCTGTGTGGGATGGAATGAGTTGATGTTATGCAATAACGGTCTTCCAGCCTCATCTTAAATTTAGCAAAACTGCACTTTGGCTCTGCGTTTGAAATGCGACACTTTCGTCCTCGTCACCCTATTGGTCGAACGTATCCGCTCCCCGCCTACCGCGATAGGGCTGATTGAAATGCTGTAATCTGATACATAATGACCCGAGAGGCGGCAAATGCAGCAGTTCCGTAAATATCGCGCATTGCCCGGGTATAAGACACGCCCGGGAAAACTTCAACTCCCAGGATGCACTGGGTGATTTTTTTAAATCCCTCTCCTTAGCATAGCAAATGACACGTAAGGACGACACGGACAGCCAGAAGGAGGCTGGATCATAGAGAGAGAGAGCGAGAGAGATTGAGAGAGAGAGGAGGTGGGGGTGATATAGAGTGAGCAAGAAAGAGAGAAGAGCAGTGCGAACCTTCAAGTGTGCGAGGAACCAGAAATCCACGCACCGATACAAGATTAACGAAATATCCCCACGTCCAGCCTATCCCCCAAAAGATAACCTTTGCATTTTCCTACCCGAGATATGTCCAATGTAAATAAATAGTGTATTCCATAAAAATGTACTACGCAGGAAATTCTCCCCTAGCGGGCAATCGCATTTATAAAGTAGTTTCTTTAATCTTTAGCCTTTAAGCCGGTTACCGGCCGCATCACTCCAGGACCGCCTCTTTACGCTACGAGCCGGGGTCGTTATATATAGCGCGACGCGATAATGTATATAGGTTACACATCAATAAAGAGAGTTCAGTCCTAAAGCGTCGGCTACCCGTAACCAATGACCTGGTTCCGAATCGAGAGCGATCGGGACGTTTATTAGACCGTCCTTAAATCGGTGATGCTTCAACGCTTGAATACAGGGAACTACGCATTTCTTCCGTTCCGCGTCGGAGCCGCTCGGTGACTCGGAGTTGCGCTCGGTCCGCCTTCCGAAGGCTACATCGAGCGAATGTAGGTTAGACTGCCGCCGGGTGCCGGCAGATGGGGAGGCTGGGGGGAGCAGCCGCGTCGTGAGGAGCGAGCAGCCTGCGGTTCGGTTCGGCCAGCGCGCGGGCAGAACGCGCGGCACAGGAGCGGCTCGGCCCCGCGATCCGGTTCTGGCGGGTCCCCGTCAGTCACACGCGCTGGCCGCCTAGTGCGGGACGGTTTGAATTTGGACAATGAACGAAAGCGCCGCTCGGAAGGGAGCATGCGGGGTCCGCGGCGCGGAGCTGCGTCCGCATCGCCCGTAATTCACACAGGGACGCTTTATAAACAGGCTGCCCGTCGAATATTACAATAAAAATGCTCACAGTTCCTATTCGCAGCATTACTTCGGTGAATCTCCACTCTGCAATTTAAATCTCCGTCCAAATAAACACTGTGACTGAACTCCAGTCTGTGCGACTTTTACGTCCAAATGCAGCCTAATTAATAACCCCGTATCACTAGTATATACTTTCAGAACATGCGTGAACGCATTAACACATATTCAAGATAAAAGTAGGCTACATTTTAGACTATCCAAAGTTAAGTGATTAAATAAATTGAGTATTTTACATTAGAAAATTAAATCAAATACAAATTATCAGTCTTTATACAGTAATTAGTTAAAGTATGACGATGAAAGTACTGCTCGGCCGGACATGATAGGTCATTTTTAATGCGCTTCATGCATTAAAAATGCAGTCAAAAAAGAAAAACAAAGATTAACCAAATACAACCCATATTACCGCGACTGAGGATTTAAAGTAGTAAGCTCCATTTTACGATAATGGTCTTCAAAAAGGAACCGACACGCTTGTATAAACAAAGAACCCGCGCAGTTACTTACATTCTGGACAATAACGCAATACTTGCGAATATACATCTTTTAAAAGCCGAACTTGAGACCGCTGGTAACATTTGCCTATTTTCCGTATGATGAGGGTGGTTTAAAGAACGGTCCTCAACCTTAAGACAACTTGCAACCAACAATTCATTCTGAAAATTCACGGCACAAAAACATATTCCTGTAAGTGACAAAATGTGAGAAAAGCCATAAAATATAAAATACGCGTATGATATAGTTTAGGACAGAGCCACCCCTCTTACCTTGGTAGGGGTCTCCGAACTGGTATCTACTTTTGTGTCTGCCATTTTATGCCTTAACGTCGGAGATCTTATGCGGAATCAAGAAAAAATTACAAAAAAAATCAATCCACTTGCAGAGACAATAATACAAAAAGACTATTAAGTATCAGTGGTGAACTCACGCGGTTGAGTCTTTAATATAGAGTTGTGGGCGGAGTCAGGGGGCGGTAAGTTCGTTGCGATTGGCCAACGATTACAGGAATTTGTGATTTTGATTCGTCGGTGTGGAACAATGGATATGATTTCTGAACCAAGCAGACACGCCTTTTTTGAACCAGCCACCGACTCGTGTGGCTGGAAGCTGTAGCCTTCGCTTTCGGCTTGTTAGCTGTACTGACAGATTAAATGGTTTTGTACCGACCAAAACCCGGCGTTTTAAGAGAAATTCAAGAAGTACATTCACATATTCCCCAACTCTACCGTTATAACACACAAAACTAAATACATTTTGATACATTTAAGTGTGACGAGTAGATAAGACATCAGGTCAGCTCCTTTTACATTTCGTGCTTTTATTAATTCCAAATAATTTTTCGCGCCGTCTGTGTATATTTCATTAGCCGATATATAACTTAATCTTACTTCTTGCCATAGTTAAGATTAATCTTAGCTTAGTTTAATACCGATTACCGAAGAGAAGCAATGTACTTAGGTAAACTTTGAGAAGACATTGATTCTTAAATACTGAAGGCAACCAAATGACTGACAATTGACGGTTTACAAATAACCATCTCCTTAATTCGGTTTTACGAGAAATCATTTTTAGTGGCCGAAACCGAATTTAGCCAATAGAATCATCGCGGAATCCAGCGAGCCATCCTCCGCTTCGCGGGCGTCATATAAAGGTATTACCCCTCCCTTGTTCGCCTCACAGGCTGACAAAAAAAAAATTCTGTACAATGTTTAACCGTGGACATGCTGCGAACAAGTGGCTATAGGCCTACCGGCTTTTCAGGACATGTTCAGTAAAGAAGTGAAAAGAGACGTCCCCAGTCCTCCCCTAACCAGAAACACTCATTTTGTTTCATTTCATTACGTGAACACGATTTTATTATAGTATTTTCTGGATCAGTTATCTTGGAAACTTATTTTCGTTATCTGGTATAGACCACGTGTGATTCACAACAAACGATATGCACTCTTGTATTTTTAAATGAAAACGAGAGAGATTACAAACGTAATATTATTTACTACGACATACAATCGTTTTAATAGACTGGGGGATGGGGTTAGTTGAAGTTAGTTACCCGACCAGCACGGCCAGTAAAAATCATACCTCTTTTTGGCAACGAACGCATATTCAACAGATCATTCGTGATTGGCCGAGAAACTGGAGCAAACACAGACTTGACGCTTTGCGGAGTCTGATTGGCTCATTTCAATGTCGATCAATCTAACTTACTGCCTTCGGTTTTATGGAAAATCTGGAGAAATATTCTGTGTTCGGATTTACGAAATGTGTCGTTATTTGCAAATAACGTTTACCTCAATTAGTGCATGACGGCTTAAATTTAACGCATTTATTAGAAATCTGCCATATCACCTGGTAAATTGTAGATTAGTCATTAATAAACACGCGAATTTTTATTGGTTTTGAAGTTCTTCAATGAAAGTTTTTTGTTGCATTTGTATAATACAAATGTATACAACTATACTAATGTAGTAATATGCCCCTTAATACACGCGCTTTTGAGATCTTAGTTCGTCCATGTAACTTTCAAAAGACCGGTATATCTGTTCCAATTGCTATAAACGTGTAAGATTGACCTCCTTCAAATTTAAGTAATCTAATCTATAGTTTTAGTAAACAATGAAATATAATTTGGAGACGGATATTCCATAGATTATTAACTGAATTGGAAGGATACATAAGAGAATTACTATTCATTTGTCATATTGGTATTTTGTCGCCAAAGTTGACGTTGGGACGTTGTTTAACAAATTGTAACGCCTTCAAAACCTCGACGTTATGTTCATTGAGAATTCCCATAACGTGTGTATACTGCTTCAACTGTCCAGATTCTTCAGTTTATCTTCACCCTGGAGACATCTTTGGCAGAATCGGCTGTCGACATAGTTAAAACATCGTCTCTCAGAAAGGCAGTGAAGGGCCGTACATGTTGGAACCCGTTAGTAACCTGCTGGTAGAACGGAAGGCGTCAGCAGTGTTTCTTGCAGAGTTTCAGCAGCATCCTGCGGTCTTTAGGATATTACAGTACTAAAGCACGTGCAAAATGTCCTTTGTGTACATTTCTTGCTGTCTCCTGTATTTTGACCATGAAACCTGTTAAAGAGGTTGAGCAAACTTTATAATGTTTTTGACTTTACGTCATTCTTCCTAATGCATAATTTATTTGCCCAAGGGTCAATTGGCAATGTATAACTGAGTAACACAATAAAACTAACAAAGTATTAATATATCTATATTTCAAATGCTGTTCGTTTTGCCTAAATAAAATCTATCTATCTATCTATCTATCTATCTATCTATCTATCTATCTATCTATCTATCTATCTATCTATCTATCTATCTATCATGTGTCTATTTATTTATAAACTATTGACCTAATGAAATGCGATACATTATTTAAATGGTTCATAATTAACATGGGAGTTAAAGCATCGCGTAATGACTAAACCGGTGAAAATAAAATTCCATTTGCAAAATGTTGTACTCCATCTAGTGGAACCATGGCGATATATCAGTAGGGTGCATTAATCTTAGCCGTGGTATTTATTCTCCCTGCTTATAATAATGGCGCACATTTAGACCAGTAGGAACTCTGTAGAAGTTTCATCGGAATCGAAAAACAAGGTCATATAAACCACCGTGAAGTACTTCTATTAGTATCTTCTATTTAGACTGTATAAGACTTTCTTTATATTCCGATTTTTATGCTGAAAGTCAGACCTTCAACTACAAAACTTGAAAAGTAGTCTACGTTTATAAATATGGAACAGAAATTTGTATTCCACATTAGTAATCGATCGATTGTAATGTCTTGTTTCAAGTAAGACGTTCATCTTTTTAAATATCCGTTTTTATCATCCTTACACACCATTAAATCTGTTGTTTAAGTGGATTTAAGAAAGATCTAAGAGGGTAAAGAATTAGTTTGGTAGTACGTCAGTAGAGCTGGGTCACATCTCCGGGGTTGTAGGTTTGAGTCCAGGACTGAGTGTTCGAGTATAAACACCTTTTAAAAAGTCTGTAAGAAATAAATACGGGGTTACAATGGCAAACAGCAGCGATTCCGGTCAAACTGCAACACGTATGTTTAAATATAGAGCTATTCTCATTAAAACGTTACTTTCACACAAAAGCCTCATTATATTATAAGCACGTATATTACGAAATTTATCTTGAGCATTTGCCTGTCGTATGTGAGCTATGACTGATGAAATTACGAGCCCCGTCATGTTCACCACTTCGCCCATATTAACAGATCCCGAACCTGTCACCGTTCCTGCGAACGCAGCGCGGTATCTGACGTTCTCACCTCCACACATCACTGTTTCAGCCGCTGCCCCACGTTACCATACATGAATGGATATTTTTATCTAAATATTGCTGTTATGTTAACATGTCATCTTTATTTTGTGTAGGACTGCCTCAGATTTCGCCTCATTGTCTCTTTACGGAAGGAATCCTTGTTTTGTGACTATGGTTTGAGGTTACATTTTTGTGTATTGCTCTGTGTAGCTGATATCTCCTTCGTTGCCCTTTGTAAAGTACGCATGTGATGGTCTTGAGGAGGTAGACATCACATTCCAGCGTCCCGTGCTCGCTCTCCTCACAACCTTCAATCTGCTGTCTGCCATCCTGCAGCCCTGCATATCTTCCATCTACAGAATTACACCAGAGATTAATTAAATTTGTGAGAAGAGTTTCCACCAGACAGTGTTGCCAGACTTCTTAGATGCAAGCTGTTTAATGATGTCTAAGCAGGACACATGCACACACGAGGCTTACTGCGGAGCACGTGCTGGCAGATAGCGTTCGTTTGGCAGCAGCAGACGACGGCTGCAGGATCCACCTTGTTTGAATACTGTTGATGCAATTTCAAGATGAAGCAACCTGTTTTTCAAGTAATTGTCATAATCACATGAAGAAATTACTGAAAACAACGATCGAAATCCCTGATCACAATACACCATTAAAAGCATTACGTTTGATGTGAAAGCTTGTATAACCTAAAAAAAAAATAAAAATCAAAGAGTATTTGCATATAATGGTGTGAGATGACTGAGAATATTCTCTTGAAAAAATATCATCTACTTTAAAATGTAAATTTCATAGTGCATAAAAATCATCTTATTCATATGATCTGTGACTATTCAGTATCCTAAGAGCATTTATGATCTGTGAGGATGTAAGTCAGTTGAGGCTAGAAAGAGATTATTCTGGTAATTTATAAGTAATACAAAAATATCCTAATTCTTAGTTTCTGATTGTGTGGGAATTGAATGTCCTGAATATTGTGCAACACAGAGATGAAACACATTCAGTTTTATTTATTTGTCTAAAAATATTGCAAGTGATCCAGGATTGTACATTCTGAACATGTAACATGAGTATCTCACCTCCTCTCCTTTAAGCTGCACGCACACACACTTGAAAGTGAAGTCTGGGGTCTGAGTGTAGTTAGGCCATTTACTCAGAATTTACTCACCTGGGGGTTAAGGGTGTTACTCAATGGACCGGCAGAGATGTGACTTTCCTGCCAAGGCTGGATCTCAAACCAGCAACCTCCTGATCACTGGCACACAGGCTTAACTCACTGAGCCGCATGCCGCCACCCCCATGCCTCTGTCAGAGTAGCTCACGTGAGTTTTTGTTAACTCATCCGGTTCCTTCCGGCCCGGCTGTTGCTCATATTATGCAGGTCAGGGCACCTTGATGGGCTGCCAGCTAAGCGCCCCCTGCAGGTCACTGCAGGCCGTGCCACCCTCCTGGTGGGCTCACCTGCAGGGCACTGTTTGATGGGCACCGCCTGCAGAGAATGATTAGCTTGGCAGGTAGCGTGCTATAGAGCTCACTGCATCTGAGGCATCAGTCACGTTTAGTACGGGGGGGCTCCTCAGATGACCTGGAGATGGATGGATGGATGGCTGGATGG